TGCTCTGGACATCAGTTACTAGGTCGCCATTATTGTTCTTACAGGAGTGCGCCCCGGTCTTTAAACCTTCCGTAAGTCGCCTAACTCTCTGGTAAAATTTTCGGGCATTCCTCCTGTCGGCCAGCATTTCAAGCTCTTCGCATTCACGTATTTCTGCCTCTCTCTTCTTGTTGCGGCAAATACGTCTCGCTTCCCTCTTCAGATCCCTATAGCGGTCCCACATAGCGCGCGTGGCGCCCGATCGCAGCGTGGCCCTGTAGGCGGCATCTTTTTTCTCTGCAGCTTCCTGACACTCCTCATCGTACCAGTTGTTCTTTCGGGCTCGCTGAAATCCGACTACTTCTTCGGCGGCGGGAAATGTGGTTCCACTGCTCGCATATGTCGGTTTGTTGAAGAGTTCTCTCTGAGAGCAGGTGTGAGAGTCGAGTAGCGAAAGCGCTGGCTGTCTGTTGTGATTGCAGCTTTTCGACGTTAAGCTTTATTGGTATTAGATTTTTTTGTAAATAGAGTTTTTAGGGGAAAAAATATTTCTTCTCGGTGATTTGTACACACAACGTTAAAATAAATCGAAAATATTACATAACATTTTCCAATTTTTGTGTTATTTTCAAGTTAAAAACTGTATTGGTATTGGACTAAAAAAAAACCTGTGAAAAGAATTATTTTCCTTTTTTTGTAGAGATCTCACAAAACTAAGTCGAAAGCCTGTATGAATTTTTCCATATTTTCGATATTTATGGAAATAATTCAGTTTTTCATTGTTTTCGGCTTGGAAACTTTTTTTAAAAATACTAAAAATCTGAAAACGTCGGAAAATTTTCAATATTTTCAATATTTATGGAAATAATGCAGTTTTAAAATCTTTTCTGGTGCAAGAAGTTGCCATTGGATGGGTGGTAGCTTCGCTAGTCATGTACATATTTGTCCCCCACGTTGTCATTTACATATCTAATTAATTAACAAACCTAAATTTATAAAGCACATATTTGTAAACTGCATTTCATTACTTCATTGATATTACCTATTTCTGCTAACAAATTTTTCATGCAACCAATACGACAAACATATGAAAATGTAAGTATGTATGCATTTATAAATGTACATATGTACATACATATATACGATTATTCTGCTTTCGTCTTCCCCTCGCCGCTTCCATCCACACAAATTATTCAATTTCTGCGAATCGCCACCAGATTGACACGTGCGCGAAACCATTAACCCTCCGTTTACGAAATATTTAGATTTTCGCATAACTTTGCATTTAATAGGGCAATACTTGTAAATTTTGTATGGAGAATAATATTAATTAATTTAAAATTCTGCATGTAACCATGTTCTCGACGACACATGTAACTTTCATCTAGATTAACCATAAAAATTGTGCTTCATTAAGAGTTGGAACCAGCTGGAAGCAAAAAAACTATGTCCGCTAAAATGGGTTAAACACTAACTGGAATTGGCATTTTTTACACGCATACATGCATACATTCATATACACATGTACAGTGGAGTAGCACTAACTTGGACATCGCATTTATTGTACTTTGATGTGTTTGAATCTTTTTATGGTACTGAAGATTTGGTTACGGGTGAAAAAAATTTAAAATAATCTGTGGATATATATAAATATATTTTTATAAACTCTTAGAGGTATAGAAATTTTTAAAATTAAAAAATAAATCAAATAATTTTTTTGCATATATACATATGGTGTTCAAGGCACATTGTCCCACCTGTACAAAAATTGTGGCGCGTCATGGACAAAAATTTTATAATTTCGGACCGAAAAATATGAAAACGAGCTAAGTTGCCACGTTACATTTGCGACATTCCGATAAAACCACATATTTTTGTGATTTTAGATGTTTTGATTTTATTAAAAAAAATTTATGTATTTTCCTGCATAAAACGTACACTTTTATTTAATATTTATTAAAATTACATCTCAAAAACTAGTTAGTGGTTGAAATATTGGAAGGGAACAGAGAAATAGTGTTTTGCCAAAAATTACCAAAAATTTCCAAAATTCGAGATAACTTATTTTACTGGATATAGAGAAATAGTTCACTTGGCTGGCCGAGATTTCTTCATTTTAAGATTTTAGAATTTTTGTGTCGTATTGAAAAAGTTGAGCTTGAGGGTGATGAATTTGCGGGGTGATGTGCTGCGGTTATTTTTATGAATGAATTTACTTGGCCTTGAGAAATACGTGCATGCGATTATGAAAGAAATAGTTATTATTGTATTTGAGTATGCGTGTAATTATGTGCAATGAGTTGTAAATATGTACATTTGTGTGTATGGGGGTAGTATTTTGGCAGTAATATGCACATACATACATTTATATGTATGCATGTAAAAACGTTATCAGTTAATGGAGTACGTATGTACATACGTATGCGTGGGGAAATGCATTTTCATTTGGCTCCAAAACTATTGGGGCATATTCGTATATGAAATAAAGTCTACTCTAAGTTTAAGTTTGTCAGTCCCAAATAAGAAGAAAGTTAGTTGCATCTTTTTTTTCACAGATCCTAGTCCACTGAAAGTGATGTGAAAATGCTGTAACTAACTTTAGTGTCGGCTTTATTTTAACTATGCATATGCCCCATTATTTACATATAATACGAGTATAGCAGTGAAAAATGATAATGCACAGTTTTTCTCAATATAAATAACTTTTCGACAAAAACAACTTTGAAGTTAACACGTGCAGTGCAATCAATGCATTTGTACGTTTTTTGACAATGTATCCATCTTTGAAGTGGATGTGTGAGAAAACTAAGGCAGCTAGAAAACTGCAGTTTGTTGCATTGAAAATAGCGTACCTATAAACTACCATTAGAATCGCTAAAAATATAAAAACCGATTTTCTTCGCTTTTAATGCCAACATCAAATCACCAAACAGTGCGCATTTGCGTTTTTTGGTCAATGTGTCCATCTTTAAAGTGAATTTGGGGAAAAACTAAGGCAGCTAGAAAACTGCGGTTTGTTGCGTTGAAAATAGCGTAGCATCTACCATATGAATCGGTAAAAAAAGTAAAAGTCGATTTTTTTCAACTCAAATGCCGACGGCAAATCACCAACGAATTTGCCAATTGCATACTACATATTTGCATAACTTTCACATTTTAGATTCACAAGATTGTATCTCTCGCATACATATGCATGTACACAATATGTACATATTACATATTTCGACCAATGCATGCATTTATTTTAAATAATTAACCAATTTAAAGAAAAATAAAAGCGTTGTAAAAACATAAAAAGCCATCAGCATTTCATGTCTAAGGGCGCGAACAGAGTGGCCGCTTGTTGCCGAGCCGAGCCGACTGACGCTTATTGCGAGAACCAATGCGAGAAAACTGGTACTATACAAATTAGTACAAATAAGCGCGAACAGGTCATAGTGGGCGCCGAGCTGGTCAGAGCGCAAAGCTAATTGAATGCGAGAAAACAGTTCCAAAGCGTATTTCAGCGCCGAAAACATTGTTTATTCTGCAAAAAGCTAGTTTCGAACGCACAGCAACATGCCAAAAATTTTTTTTCTCTTTTTGTCTATTGCATTTCGTTTATCATTTATTGGATGTTTTCCAAATGAATTTTTATTGATAAAATACTTTAAAACAGTAGCCGAAGCTAAATACTCATCATCTGACGAATCCATATCTTTTCACTTCAATTTCACAAACACGAATGAACAACAAACCCAAATGCATACAAACATACATAAAACACAAATAATAGATAAAATATCAGCGCTGATTCTCGCATCCACTATGCACACTCAAACTTGTTTCTCGCATGAACAAGTTCTCGCAATAAGCGTCAGTCGGCTCGGCTCGGCAACAAGCGGCCACTCTGTTCGCACCCTAACAAAAAAAATATGCATTTGCTTTGATGAGACAATTTCTGTTAAATTTATTTTGCCTCTGGCTGGGCTCTGTTAAAATTCGATTGTCTCTGGCTTGCCGCTCTTAAAATGCGCTTCGCCAGTTTTGTTGGTATTTGACAGTTTCCACGCTGATCCGTTCTTGGTCCTTCTCTATAAATATACGTTCTCTGCTTTCCCATTAACAATTCACAATAGAGCAGTTTTTTCGCTTAGATACCAACACTACCCTTCCGGGCGCGTATTTTTTAACCGACCTGGCTGAACTCGGATAAATAGCCTAGTTTGTGTTGTTGATTTGCAGGTATTTCGTCATTTGCGTGTTGTCCTTGCTTGCAGCCGAGATACAAAAGAATGCACCTTATGTAAAGTTTCACTAAAATGTTTGCAGACAGATTAGGAAAATAAAGTTTTTATAAAATTTGCTTTTTAGCGCTTATGTAAATTTTAAGGCAATCATCTAACTCCAGCAAAGCAATTCTTTTTGCCAGTTGCGAGATTTTAAATTATTCCATTAATTTTAGCATGGGATATAATCATTAATCTATAAAAGTAATTTATTATTGTACAAATTACACAAATAATTATAAGTTGTTATAATAGCCAAACTATTAGTTAAGTATCGGCTAATTTGCTTGTACATATGTGTGAATGTACACACGAGTATACTTTAATCATTGTACACATAATGCTGCGGTATACAACTCTTAGATTTTATGTTTGGAGCTGAAAAATGCTCCTTCGCCATTGATGGTCGCCTGCTTTTCATGCAAATTGAAGTTGTTAAAGAGCTCATCAAACTCGCTGAATAGCTAAAATAAAACACAATAAAAACTTTCAATTGCACATAAACTGCGATCAATAGTAACTTACTTGTGCAGAAGAGCTCACGTTGGGCACATAATAGTCCACTTTGCTGCCGCTCCCTCTGGGCGCTACCGCCGCTGTAGAAACTGATGGCGCTAATGGTGTGTTGATTAAGTTGAAATTCTGGTATGATTGTGTCCTAAATGAAGTGCTTTCGCCTTTGTTCAGACTTGGTGTTATGCCCAGGTATTGTGCTAAAAAAACGTTGTGGTGAAGGGTTAATATCTAATGTGGCCAAAATTTATGTAACTTTAAAAGTATAAAAAATATTTTTACTTTTCTTTTTAGCTTGAAATTTGACTTGATTGAGTTGAGAGTTATGCAATTGCAGCTGTCTGTATGTTGGATAGGCTGTCTTTGATGGAGATGTATCAGTTAATCGTCCGTGTATTTGTGGGTAGAGATAAGTGGTCTCAATTGATGGTGTGTCATGGTGATGATATCTGCCTTCGTCGGGAGTGTAACGACCATCTGAGCTGAGCGCTAATTGAAATACCACTCTTGGGCTTTTACTGTAGTATTGGTACACCTATAGATTTTGAATACAATAAATGAAAAAGGAATATAAGTTAATACATTCATTGCAGTGGTTTCCGAAACATATCTCAAGAGTTGGGCAATTTTAGAGCAACTTTCTTTTTATCACATAATAAATGTACGAGTATGTACTTTGTAATATTGAAACTCATTTCCGAATGACATTTCCCATTTGTACTTAATAATCAGCCCAATTCCAAATATTCCCGGCTAGTTCATTCCTCCCGGAGACTGCTTTTCTCGAGAAAAAAATCCTCAAATTCTAAACTATCGCGGAAAACCAAAATATGGGAATAAAAGGTCGAAAATTCGAAGATGTGAAGTTGGCTGTGTTTTTTGAAAAAAATCGCTTCTGGCAGTTGAAACCAGAGACCATACGGATTTAAGAAATAAAACTAAATATTGCTCTATAATTATTACTGAACATTGGAAAAGTTGTTTTCGTCTCGCGGGACGATTATTTTAAGATGTAAATTTCTCATAATAATTATATCGGAGTTTTATTTTTTTCGTCTTGCGGGACGTTTACTTCAAGACGGAAATGATATACATCTTCTCATAGTAATAATATGGGATTTTTACATTTTTCCGTCTGTCGGGACGTTTATTTTAAGACGAAAATGATTTACGTCTTCTCTTAATAATTATATGGGACTTTTATTGAAATGGAACTTCTTAATTGAGTTCGGAGATTCGACGCGTTAAATATTTAACACCACGATTGTTTATGTCATCAAATCTGTATCGTTCGTTCGATTTTCAAAAATGAGGAGTCAAATTAAAGGGCTTTGCTTTTACGTGGTTTTGGTTTTTTGAAAAGGGTTACCATATGTTAGCAAACCAAATTCCAATAATCTATCTCGGAGAAATTTGCGTTTAATTTTGTGAAATCGGCAGCACATGTACCGATTCTATTAAGAAAAAACGTGGGATGTAAATCATTGTCGTATTGAAATAAACCTCACGAGAGACGAGGAAAATAAAAGTCGCACATAATTATTATGAAAAGACGTAAATCATTTCCATCTTAAAATAAACGTCCCATGAGACGAACAAAAATGAAAGTCCCACATAATTAAATACTATGAGAAGATGTAAATTATTTCCACCTTGAAATAAACGTCCCGCAAGATGAAAAAACATAGAAGTCTCACATAATTATTATGAGAAGGCGTAAACAATTTTCGTCTTGAAATAAACGTCCCGAGAGACGAGAAAAATAAAAAGGATCATTCTAGCGCCTTCGTCTTGACCTGCGGGCTGTTTCGGAGCCACAGCCGATAAACTTAAGCCTAGAATACGTTATATTATTAAGATCATATTCAAGTTAAAAAGGATCAGCCCAGCGCCTTCGTCTTGACCTGGAGGCTGTGTCGGAGCCACAGCCGCTAAACTTAAACGTAGAATTAAGTTAAAAACGGTACATGAAATATTCGGTTTGATTGTATTCAATTAAATTTAATAAATCAGTATGAATTGCAAAATATTGATACTTAGAGCCCTGTTACAAGATATGCATTTGCATATGTAAATGCTACTTTTTTGTATCTACTCGTATGTACCATATATTAGAACTTATCAGAAAAGTAGCATTTACATATGCAAATACATATCGTGTAAGAGCGCTATTAGCAATACAGAAGCAGATCCACATTAACTTCAATCATATGTACCATCAGCTTTTAAATAGACAGACATATGACATGACGTGTATCGCTACTTCGATTCATTTTTATTTCCTTTCATACTGCAGAAATTTGTATTGCTTTAATATTAGCCTAGGTCCCCGTATTAGTATTTTTCTTTGTGTTCGTGCTCGTCTTCCCATTATCTCCGTCTTCGGCTTTGTGCATAAGTTAGCTAACACTTCTGAAACAGCTGGCAACCCTCCTAAATATAGATAATGAATAAACAAATCTCTTGCGTTTGATGTTGTGATACCTAAATATTTTATGTGCCTGATGAATTAAGTTAAAGTAGATTTTTTAAATACCCATACTTTTGATAACTGCTTTAACTTATTAGATAATTTGAGTTTAGCTTTTTAACAGGTGGCAACCCTCTTTAATATTCGAAATATTCAAACTAATTATATCGTACCACCTTCGTTTCACGTCATATTTTAATATTGCATTTAACTTATGCATACTTTAATTAAATTCCATTTTAAAACCAAAACCGTGTGTAACCTTTTTCGACTGACACACATATTGCGATACATATTTAAATTGTATATCTAATTCCCTTAATTCAAGTTGAATTCAATTTCTAAAACATATGACAACCCTCTTACATAAATGTATGAAAAAAACATTTTTAACCCATGTCAATATGTACCCATACATTAATAATTCATTTGACTGATTAAATAATTTGAGTTTAACTTTTTAAACAAGTGGAAATCTTCTTTAATGTTATAAATGCTGAAACTAAATATTTCTTAATACTCCTGTGTTAGACGCCAATATTTCAATATTTCATATAATTTAATTTAATTCGACTTTTCAAACAGATGGCAATCCTGTTCAAATAATTTTTAAACCAAAACCTAGTTGAACCCTTTTCGTCTGACACTTGTATTGTGATACACATTTGAATTATCGAATACTCTTAATTAAAATTGAATTTAATCAAAAAATCAGGTGGCAACCCTCCTACATGCAGTTTGGAAATAAAGTTTCTTCAAAGCAATTTTGATTTATATTCATAATAATAATAATAATAATAATAATAATAATAATAATAATAAAAAATAATAATAATAATAATAATAATAATAAACGCAACGCAAGAGGCGTGGAATGGGATATGCCCCAAACAAACACCAGGGGAAGACTGGTCCTTGAAATGGCAGCCCGCTCGTGGTAGACCTGAGGCGCTGACCAGAGCAGCAGCCTACAAAAGCGCTAAGAAAGCACTTGGGGCCGAGATACAGAAGAGTAAACGGAACTGCTGGAGAGCGCTATGTGATGAAGTGGATCGCGATCCTTAGGGCCAGGGATACAAAATAGTGATGAAAAAGTTCCACACATCATCGCAAGCGATGGATGAGGCCCGAGTTAAGAATATAGTGGATGCGCTATTTCCCACACACCCACTTAGAGCAGATACAGTGCTCGTCGAGGAGCAAGCCGAGGCACCACTGTTTTCGACAGACGAGCTGAAGCTAGCCCTGCGAAGCATGAAAGCCGGCAAGGCTGCCGGCCCAGATGGCATACCAGCGGAGGCAATCAGGTTAGCAGCGAAAACGAGCCCTGATCTCCTGCTTAACATGTACAACAGCTACCTTAGGGCCTGGGTCTTCCCAAGCCAATGGAAGAAGGCGAGACTGGTGCTTATACCCAAGGG